CTCTTTGCTTTGCACAACCTTAAAGTGGGATTGAGAGGCTGGATTCTGGAGCAATGCTTAATGGGGGAATATCAGTGTCGGTATTGACTGCTGTACACCATGAGTAGAATGGGAAGCACGGAGATGTTGGGATGATGGGATGATTCGTGTTTTTATCTTGGATTGTGGGCAATTGGTTTTGCTCTTGCAACCTACATTGTCTGCTATATTTGAAGGGTAGATGTCTTCGTGGTTGACTGAAGGGTTTTGTATTACTGAATGCTTGCAGTGGTGAGAGTCTTTATGTGGAACAAATGAGGAATTAAGAATGTTTACATGTCAAAATAATTACGGTATTTTTGTGCAAATATGATGGTAAGTAGAGCTGAATTTGTGGTTTTAAACAAGAGGATGATGATGTGTGTTATTACAAATATTGTTGATGATAGAAATCACACTACCTTCAAAACAATCACACCAAACTTTATAAAAAATTGAGTTTTTAAACTAAATCAAACATTCTGAAGAATTATTAAGATGTTTCTTGCTTGAATATATCAAATCAAAAATTGTGATTATTTTACCACACATCATTTTCTTTTTCTTAGTCAATGATATCTTAGTCTTTAGTAAGAAAATATGCTTTAAATATGTGTCATATTATTTATAATTTCAGAACTACATTGATCTTATTAAATATAAACTTTCATTAAAATTTAGAATGGTTTCTAATGCCAGTTTTGTCAAAGCTTATTATCATGATTATTTGGTAGTCTCTTTTTTTTCTTATTTATTTCAAAATTTTGATATTAATTTTATTTTTTTATTTCATTGTGATTCTTATTTTTAAAGAAAATATCAACTTCACACCATAACAATGCTAGTTTTGTTAATACTTGATGTAAAATGATTTTTGCACTAATAGATAATTTTTCATAGATTTTTATTGATTATTTTTAATTATAATATTTTTATTTTAAAAAATAGAGAATTTTTAATGCTATATTCTAAATTGATATTACTATATCCCATGTTGTCTCCTTGTAGTCAAATAGGTAATAATATGCTTCATTTTTTTGCAAAACTTTTCCTTACTTTGCTTTAAGAAAAGATGGTTGTTGAGAGGGAGACATTGAGTATTTTATGAAAAAACAAGTTGCAAGTTACTTTTTAATATATATATATATATATATATATATATCCTCAAAATATATATAATTCAAAATTTTATTCTGTTTTTTCTTTTTCTTTTTCTTTTTCTTTTCTTAGTGCAATATATATATATATATATATATATATATATATATAAATCTTATTTTTTAATTTATTCTATTCATGGGTCAATATTAAAATTAAATATTTATGGGTCAATATTAGAATTAAATATTAGATTGCCAAACATGCCCTAAGCGTAGAAGTATATTTTTTAGTCAAATTAAGTCATGTAGAGGTCAGTTAGGGTGTATTGAGAGCAAGTGGGGATGTGGCACTAACAATTTTTTAAAAAAATTGGAATGAAACCAAAGATAAGATTTTTTTGATTTACAATCTACATATATTTTTATGTAATTATGAATACTCACATCTATTTTACTTAGAAACTTTAAAGTTTTTAGTAAGTATGTTATTTTTTTCATATACAAGAATTTAAATTCTATTATTTATTTTACTTATTTATTTATTAATTTTTCTAATAATTATTTGAATATCTATTTTAAAATAATGTCTAAATAAAAAGTAATAAAATCATCTATCATCTTTAACTATTATTTCAAAAAAATTATTAGTATTATTAAAATTTAATATTTATATTTATTATAACTAATTTGAAAAAGTAATAAAAATATAATTTTATATCAATTATTAGGGTAAAATATGATTATTTAAATATAATTAATTTTTTAAAAAAATATCTAGGAACGTAGTTATTATTTTCATATATTTCTTAAAGAAGTTTTAAATCTTTCAATCTACACTATTTATTAAAGGATCTGTAACACCAGAAAACATTATCTTACATTGTCTGTATTATAATAGTTTTACAAATAAACAATCATACAAGTACCATACAAATATTATATATCTTCTTTTATAATTTATAAGAATGTTTCATCGAACTTCTCCAATAGTTTGTATTATTATTTTTATTTTACTAATATTTAGATTTTTTTATAAGATTTCAGAAATTACTAAGTTTACATATTTATAAATTTAATTAAAAATATCAGAACTTATTATTTTATATAATTAAAACTATGTATTATCTCTGTATACAACATGTGTCTTTAATTAATATTTACTTTATCTTATTTTAATATACTTCTATTTTATAAAAAAAGTAAAATAAAAGTAAAAGTAAAATAAATAATTTTATCCAAGTTTTATTACTTCTTCTTTTCTAAAGATACACATTATCATGTATTTTCTTCATGCTTTCCAATTCATTCTTGAACTTCCCCTAAAATAAGTGGTTTTTTACACCAACATATGTCTTATAAAGATAATACTACTTTATTAGAAATGATTTTAATTTTTATGTGTTTGACTTTATTTCTTTAGAAAAAAATTAGGTTAACTTGTTCATCTAAAGATTTTTGTAACACATTTATTCTTTTTTTCAGTTTAAATAAAATCAATTATAAATTTAGTTGTTTCTATTGAGGTTTTTTTTTAGTCCGTAATGTTTTTTGTTAAATCACTTTGTAACCACTCAACCAAATTTATTTTTCTTTTCAAGAACATCAATATTATACATAATACTTTTAAGGTATTTATTATTTAATTGTTAAATATTTTGATAAAACATGCTTTATATGATAAAATAAAATAAAAAGATATTTTCATATATTTATCTTATCTCTAACAAAATCTTTATTACTCATTGATAAAATTTAATAATTGTGAAAGATAAAATTAAGTCAAGACAAGAATATGATTGTGTTGAAATAAAACACCATGACTTAGTAGCTCTATTAGAGGAAAAAAGGCTTATAAGTCATTAAAAAATAGAACTAAAAAAAAATAAAAAATAAAAAAATCAATAATTTCTATGATTTTATTTTTCTTTTTAAGCTTAATGTGTGTGTGTGTGTATATATATATATATATATATATATATATATATATATATATATATATATATATTATTTTTAAAAATTAATATTTTGATAAGTTGTTACTTAAGATAATAAAAAAACTTATATAAAGTTTTTTTGGCAAATTTAATATTTTAAAAAATTAAATTGGTTAACTAGATTCTCTAATAAAAGTATAAAGTTTTATAGAAGTTTAAGAAACACTTCTACAAATTAAAAAATAAATAATGGTTTTAAAGAAGCTAAAATAATTATATTTGTAGTAATGAATTAAATTTTTAGAAGTCTTTTGTGACATATTTTTAATTTAAAATATTACTAATAAAATTTGTGACATTTATTTCTTCAACCATAAATTGAAAAAAATAGTAATTTTATTGTTAATTTATATATATATATATTCTTAGACTTCTAATGTCATTAAGATTTGAAACATAGTTTTCTTTTTTAAAAAAGTATCTAACCTATATTGGTAGTTATTAAACTTTTTAGGTCTAAAATTTCTTTAATATTACTACTAAATAATCGTGATAGCTTTGAAATATTTAAATATTTAATAGATATCAAATTTTCTTTTTACGAAAAAAAAAAAAAAAAAACATTAAAAACATTAAAAACATTAAAAAAACATAAAAAATCAAAACAAAAAATATTAAAAAAAGAAAAGAAAAAAAGAACTCGATTGTTTCAAATCACTTTGTCTTTGCTTAGTTATACTGCCTTTATAAAATGGTTATAAAATAAACGAATTTTAAGTATATATTAATATTAAAGCATAATTTTAATTATTGTATTATTCGATATATATATATACATATATACATATATTAGATTACAAAGAAGTCAAAAAAAATAATTAATTAATATATAACATAAAAATAAAAATTACACAAAAAAAATTCTCATAATACTAGAAATAAATATAATGGCAATGCATCAATGATGCAATGCTAAGCTCAAAAAACATATATATATACTAATAAAATTGAATTTCGTTGAACTTATATTTATATAAAAGACATCTACAAATATTATATTAAAGAATATACTATTAATAATGTTTTTTAAATAGTTTTTCATTCCAACTTGAATTTTTAAACTTTTATAATTTACGTAGTAACCATTTAGATCTAATCATGAAAGCAAGTTCCAAGAAATACATTAGAATATGTAATCCATATTTTAATTAATGCTTTTATAACTTGGGGTATACTGTTGTATCAGTTTAATGTATTTTTGTACACTCTAAATAAATGTGGCAATAGGAAAAGAGTAATTAAAATTTCTTACTTGAACTGAAGAATGTTATATGCAGTAGTATTTTCCATATCTGTCTCTTGAGTATGCATTGGAATACTTTTCTTTTGTGTTTTTTTTTTTTTTATTTCATCTGTATTTGCTTCTGTGTAGCTATAAATTTTTGTTGAATAGCAAGATTAAGTTTGGGTCCAAACTCACACTCCTCTAATGTCTTGATGAATGTCTCAAACCTAGTCAAAAAGATGGTCTATTTCAAAAATTAAATCAGCCTTAGGTGTATGTCTGTGGTATTTTAAGAAAAATTTGTAATTATTGTTCAATCATTATCTTCACTACAGGTTCTCGGTAAAGGAGGTCACTATGGATCGAAAAAGATTTTTGCAGTATAAAATTATCTCAACACAAGTAAAAATATATAATTGAATAATTAAATAACAACAAACAACTACCTCTGAACGTCCTCCTGGACAAGTGATCGAGTTTTGAAATTGCACCTTTACAGTGATATTGTTTTAGGATTAGATGGGTTTGAAGATCATTGCTTTCAAGCTGATTGGATAAATCAACGAGCGCAAGTGGACACAAGATATAAAAACCTGCTGCTGTAATTCTGAGTAGAAATAAATAAGATAATACGACTGCTATTGAGCAAGCTTTGCAAAAGAATAAAAATAATGGGGTGCATTGCAATTGTGCAATTGTTGATAGAGTACAGTTGATAGGACTTATCGGTGAACAAATAGTGCAGGACACCCATTACAAATTAGACTCTCGACACTCGCCTACACTCCCAAACAATGTCCCGAACAACTGCTCATGAGAAGTTCATCACAACAATCAAGTTGATACAACAGTGTTAGCAGTTCACAAGATGCCGAAGTGATCGTAATCCTGGAGACTTCAGTGCCTCTACTTAAGAGTGTTGAAGCTGGAAAGGTCTGACAAATCCCCTGTTATGCCTCCCATTCTCGAACTCCAAAGTCTGGATGTCTCATGACTACTATTATAACTCGAACAGCAATAAAGTACCAACGAACCGCAAATTTTCTGGCACTAAGAACAACGCAAGCCATGTGCTGGAAAGACTTTTTCCAGAGACTTCTGGATACCTGATGAAATCCGCTGGTCTCATGTTTTCGAAAAGGAATGAGTGACAATCTGGCTGCAAAAGATCAAGTACCAGCTCTAAAGCTGTATCAAAAAGTATTTTGAACAAGGAATTGAACTCCCACATCTTTAGGTCTCGTCATCTTCTTCTTCATCTTTACTGGGTGCTAGAATGCTCAGCCCTACTCCCAAACCCAGAGTTATTGCTACAACTCCAAGAGACAACTCAGTTGAGATATGAAAACCTGCAATTTAAGTGCACATACTATCAATAGGTCATAAAAATTCATCGTACTTCCGTCTCCTCATAAAACTCAGGTTAGTTCCAACCCAATTTTAAACTAATTCTAATACTTTGCAAGCAGATTGTGAAATGCTACGCAACAAAGTGGATGCCTTAAAATACACTGAAGAAATTAGCGTAAGGTTCATGTCTATCGAAGGTATGAGATGTAATTGTAAGATTAGATGCAAAGGCTTGACAAGTAACACAATTTAATGAGAGAAAGACTCACCAAAGTATTCAATGACCATCTTAGATCCGATGAAGCCCAGAACAGCACCTACACATGGCTGCAAGTACTCCAGCTCGGCCATGCTCCCTGAAATTAAAGTGTATAATGACCTGAGTCCTGTATTCCACGCAATACTGAGGTTAGAATATTTACATAATAGAGCCAATGAGAGAAAAAAAGAAAAAAAGAAAAAAATTAAATTCACTGTAATGTACTCACGAATGATCACTGCAGCATGTAAACCTCAGCTAACCAGCATGTTGCGGGAATTAAATGGAGGAATCCAAGACAAAACCTTTATTTGTTCGGTGCTAGGTTTTCTCGTGACAAAAGAGGCAAGTTAAATAAAATAAAAATGCTCGAATTCAAGATAAAAACAGGAACAAACCTAAAATGGCAAACATATTTGATGAAAAGACAATTAGGGGATCCCTTGTCACTCCAAAAACTGCTGGAATAGAATCAACCTGTTCAAGGATAAATTCAGCTCAATAAGCACTTGAAGTCACAACATCAGAATTAACACACTATGCGTATTGGACCTTGTCGAAAATCTCGGTTAAAACCTAACGGAAACTTCCTAAGCAATTATTCACAGTATTAATAAACACCAATAGTCTTGTCGCTTAAATTATTTATTGATACAATGTGGTAATCAGGTAATTTATGTTCTTGAGGAGATTTAGCAACAGAAACCACAACAACAGTGAAACACTTACAGCAAAGGCAATGTCGCTCAGCTCCACGACAGCAAGAGTGAGAAGCAAGGGTGTCGCCTGCAAATATAATTCATGGAAATCCACAAGTCAGGGCAACTGCTAGAAAGGCATCTCACTGCTACAACTCCAAGATTCATATCGTTTGTAAAAACTGCGCGCCACGTAACCGAGGCTGGAATATAGAGTCACCTTTTGAAAACCGTCTTCAATGGTAAAAAAGTTATTTTCATCATACGTTGCTGGCGGAAAAGTGAAACCACGTTAGAGCAGGATTCAGGGAGAATACAGATCTCTATCAACTTGCTCATTGAAAAATAGCATAAAAGAACTTAAGCTGACGATAAGAAAGAAGACAACGTAGGCTAGCAACACATTGAGCATGGTCTAATCGAGTAGTAGGGAACTGAACATACAAGTTACAGGTATAAGTTTTTGGCAGAAATTAACGATAAAATTGTTGGACAGATCCTCTTCGTCACCATCCTCGTCTCCGAATAACTGCACACTCAATGATATTCAGTCTACAATGGCATATGGAATTATGGGCTCAAGTATATTATGATATCCACTTTATTGCCTCTGAACCTAACTGTCATGCGATGTGATCATTTGTAAAATGGTAATACCATTCGAGTCGTGATGAAACTACCTATCACAAGAAAGCTTTCAAACAGACCTTATATGCTGAGAATAAGAGAACGGCGGCAAAAAATAAGTTGATGGCTTCAAATCTCTGCAACAGAACAATTACAGATTAGGTGCTATATTTGGTCGACTACATTTTCCAGCCAGAATACATCGCATTCCTAATTGAAGCTTCTTGATCTCTGACTTCCATAAAGGTATCTGCAGAAGAGAATCTCGATCGTTTCTCACTAATACAAACCTATTGGGGTATGGCTTAAATTAGGATATACAGAATTATTCACAAGAAGAGATTTGATTAGAGAACATAATGATAAGTCAATACAATAAGCCGAATATCCTTCTTAACATGTTTATTATAAACGTGCTCGTAGGAGCAGGAAAAGGGACTGGATATCAGAACCGCAGGTAATAGATAATCAATCAAGCATTCAGTACAGTTACTTGATGACTAAGATGCCCGATAGTGAGACATGATAAACAGAAGACCGGCTCAGTACCTGCAGTGTAGCTGCACCAAGTGTTATCATAAAAGCCCGGAAGAAAACAGCTCCAGCTATTCCATACGTAAGAACTCGGCTCTGAGCAAAAAGTACCGTCAAGCAAATTAAAACGAGGAAGTCAATGAACAATCAACAATACCCGTCAGCAAACAACCATACTGCAACTTAAAACAACGAAAATGTGTATGCAGAGAGCATTCTTAAACTTGACTAACGATGCTAAACTAGGATCACAAAACACAATGTGCGCATGCACGAATGTATATACGAGTTCTTTTGAAGAAATTGAATTGCAACTATGATAACAAAAAAGTGAGAGTCATCGTAGAAAATAAAGAAGATAGGGGATGAACCTGGTAATTCACAGGAGTTTTGAAATAGTTGAATATAAGAACAAAAACAAACAAATTATCAACTGAAAGACTCTGCTCCAAAAGGTACCTGTGCATCAATGCGTACATATAAGGAAGCAAAAAGAATGAGATAAAACAACCTGACTAGCCTGCTCTATCTTAGCAAACAAGGTTCGTAATCCTTGCGCACACACTATTTAGAAAATTACTTTGAGATGGTGATCTAGGATTTGATTCATGCAATGCATGCCTGTAACAGTTATTGCGTTGAAAAAATGTAATAGAAATGACATGCAGATTTGAACCAGAAATATGAAGATCTGATGACCAATCCTTAATTACAAATTGCAATTAAAAATAAAAATTAAGTATCAGAAAGATGGGTCTATACCCTGCAAAAAATTCGGATGCTTTACTACTACCCTGAGTGACGAAGAGAAATGTTCCAAATACGACTGCAGCAGAAACCTGCATGTTCAAAACTTTAGGTCAAGGGCCAGGTCACTTATCTTACAAACTAGAGAGGTTCTTGAATATTCCAAGATATTCATGAATCGAAAGCAATATGAGAGCAAAATAACTGCAATATAATGTTAGCAGAACCACATCTAGATTAACACGCGAAAAATTAAGAGTTCTCTCGTGGCATGCTCTCCTAAGCGACAACCGTGAACTCGAAGTCTCACCCGCTCACAAAATTTACTGTTTACTATCTCATCGCTGAATTGATATGGAAATATAATATCATAAGGTCGAAACTCCGCTCGTAACCACAGGCAACGAATGTAATGATCTATCTTAGCTTGTCAGACATTTCAGAGGAAGCTGCAAATGAAACAGGTGCCATCAGATCTGTTTATCTTACCCAAAAAACTACAGTTCGAACAGCTGCATCCTGGTCCTCAACAGCATCAACCTCAGTAGGCATTGAAGATTCAATCTCTCCCACTGTAGAGACTGTCTTAGCTGCCACCTCAAGCGTTTCAGCGATAACTTCAGTTGCGTTATGTGCAACCTCAAGCACTAAATTTGGTTCCTCGTCAGAAGTTGGGGGGACACTTTCATGAGAACCTGCACGACCATAAGATCCAGAACCATTCATTTCTCCTGAGTTCTGCTTCACGCTGGTCTTGACAGGCCCTCGTCCATTGGTATCCTCCAATCGCACTTCATCATCCGTTGACACTGTATAGAGAAAAGAAAAGCCCTCCATGAAATAGCTTCAAAGAAACTTGAACTTACTGTTATGAATTACAAAATTACAAGAACCGTATAGTTTGAATGACAAAAATAAACAAGCCTAAACAAGTCTCAGCACTTCTGAAATATTACAGACCCAAAGAAATTTCAGTGTCAACAAACCTAATGGTCTAGCTTCCTCTTGTGAAGAATCACTCAAACACAAGATCCGCAATCCTCTTCTCAATTTCCCTGATACAGCCAAACAAGTTCAATGACACCTCAACTTAATTTCACTGATGATTCACAACGCGGATAAAATCTTTCATCTCTTCCGCCATAAACAAACCAAGCACTATGAACATGGAACAAAGTGAACGCAAACTCGAAGAAAATCTCTATCATGGGCTCAAACTAGTCAGAACACTAACAATACATGTACCAGTTTTCTCCTGAAAGAGGACCTTCAATCTTTCAAACCCCTAAATCTTGAAGTTTACAATGTATAAACAGTGTCACATATGTGCCATGGAACTACTCTTCAATTAACTACAGCCGTCAGGTATTGAAAGGAACCCGAAACTTCTGCCAACTCCATGCACAACGAATACTGTAAGGAGGAAACGATTCTCCATTGCACTTCCTATAGACAAACAACTATATAAAAATTGGAGAGATTACCTTGGTCCAATATGAAACGATAACCCAGCTGGCGGTTGCATGGAAAGCGTGTACCACGTCCACCTCGATAAGCAGCCCCAATACCCTGCTCCAACACATTCAAGTTGCGTTCTAATCAGGAGCAACAAACCCGAAGCCATTTTGATAGTTAGTTTCTGCTAAAGTGTACCACCAGGAAGAGAGTGACGCTACACTCATTGTAAACAAGAAAGCTCCATCAGAGCTGAAGTTTTCATGCAGTTATAAAAGCTTGCAACTGCGAACAAAGGTGTTCTCTAAAGCCACAAATCCAAACACAAATAAAATTCGCTTGATTCGAAGCTTAGTGTGAATCATCAGAGTCTCAAAAACCAATCAGCAACATGTAAGTGGTCTTTAAATTTACAGTAATGCACTAAAAATAACTTGTTTCCTATCTGGAATGAAATGGGTGAAAAAGAGTACAGCTAGTAATTCTTAGGGTGGCAGTCACGGTCATAAACGACACAACTTCTCAAAATGCTCAAGTAAAAATACACAAAATTCACATATATGGCCGTTTTACGACCCCTAAATTAATCAGTTGGTTATCATCGATCAATCTGCTCCAAGAAAACTACTCTGCCTGCTCTGTTAGACCACCAGGGTTTCGGCTTCTACATTCAACTCGACAAGACTTTCTACAACAGGAGACCAACAATTAAAGGCTCAAATTGTGAAATACACAGCAGACTGCACAGCAATGTATAGCAGGAGGGTTGTTCAATAAGTAGTTCATTGTGGACTCTACACACCAAGGTAGTGGCAATTGTCGATAGCAACGCAACAGACCAGCTGGAAGCCTGTAATTGGAACTGATTATGACGCTCAAAATCAACAATCTCAATACTTACAAAGTAATTACATTCGCCGAAACCAACGGGACTACACTTGCAATTACGTTTCGAAGTGAAGCAAGATTTCGAGCAGCTTTCAGAGCTAAACGCTTCGTACATCGATACTCGTAAAGTTGAATGATATCAATTCTATAACTACACTTCTCTGACATCATTGCACTACTCCCCCTCATGCGATGGTAGATCTGGTATACTAAACAAAACGGCAACAAGAGTGTAAAGACCAAGAGAAGAATTAGACAAACTAACCGGTTTAATTCGTGGCAAAGCCGGATACCGTTGTCTCGACAGATTACCACAAACAGCACGCCGTTGCAATCCACAGTCTACAGACAAAGCTTTGATAGCATGACTGCACATGGAGGCAGCCATTTCACGACACAGAACTACTAGCACCGCACCCCACTCCAATGCCAACGTCCCCTGCTTTACATCACCTAAACCAGTTGCACTCAGGTTTCTAGAACGGGAGAGTGTTGACGCCGCAAATCCCCTGAAGACTACACAAAATTTCTCCCCATGATTCGAGCCATTGATAACCGACAATCACCTGGCGTCCCAGCTGAACAGCCAAAATTACAATCCCTTCTACTGCGCTCCAAGAATTTCAGCCGAATCTCCACAAAAACCCAGCTCTAGGCGGAACCCAACACACTCCCCATTTCGCCAGACTGATTCCCGTCTGCAAACCCAACACCCTATCGCACACAAACGAGGATCTACACTCCGAGGTTGCTTGAACAGGGTCACGCAACCTCGCGTTAGTGACTGAGCCACTATACACACACACACACCCCCTCCCCACCCAGGTCCAAATTCTCACTCTCACTCTCTCCTCGCAGCAGCAGCAGGCACCAGATAATGCTCCCCACCCCGAGAAGTCGTGCTCGCACCACCACAGATAAACCTCGCCCTGACCTGACCTCGCCTCTCCCTTTGAAATCGTGAGTGAACCGCAGGACCCAACAAAGCTGATGCCACTCTACCAACGACCAGAAATGGCACGACCACTAGATACTATTATCCGAACGCCACGCACTCACTCACTCACTCACTCACTCACTCCTCCCCTTTCCCTCTCCCTTGGCTCTCTCTCTCGCTCTCCCTCTCCCCGTGCTCCACAAAACAGAAAGATTCCTCCTGCTCGCCTCATTCATTCCCCGACCATGCCAGCAGCACCAACTCAATACGGCACACCACAGCACAGCATTGCATAGCATAGCATAGCCCCGCTGCTTTGCTCGGCTTCTTCTTTGTTTCCTTTTTCCTTTTTCTTTGTGCCTTAACCTTGTAGAATTGTGTCGCAGAGACCTCTCTCTTCAATCGACTGGCTCCGCCATTGTGGGCCGTCGGATTGCATCTGCCGCAAAGATGCAATCTCAACCGTCGATTGAATTTCCTGGAACGGAGAGGAACCACGGGCGGCCAGGCAGGTTGGAGGCCGGGCAGGTTATGTAATTTCTAAAACTATATAACATGTGTTATTTCAATAAACAAAAACATATGTATATATATATATACAAATAAATGAGAGAAAAATAAAACCTTTGTGGTATCTTTTATGTTGTGATTATTGTATCTTCTAAAAACATATGCAATTGCTTCTACACATATACAACTGTATTAGAAAAAGATAACATAATTGAAGTTGTGAGGTATATTTAAGTTGGTTTTTAGTTGTATTCTGGTAATAATTTATTTAATTTATTTTATTGTAATTCTATAATTTAAAAGACCAAATTTGATAATGTAGTAATATATAGATATATATATATATATATATATATAATCACATTTTAATGTACATGTTGAGAGAGGAAAGAGTCATCGGGGTAAGTAGTAAGGGCATCAGCATCACCCTCCTCCTCCTCCTCATTGCAACACCACAACTTTCTCCGTTTCTCTTACATTCTTTCTTGCTTTCTATCTTTCTGATTGTGTGCTTGCGTCCTTGATTTGTGTATTGTTTCGCCCATGGTTTGAGGCTCACTTATACTACTAACAAACAAGGTGGTTAGTTAGTCCTCCCCGAGGATGAGAAAGAAAACAGGAGGACCAAGGGTACATGTGATGCTGCAATTGGTGGTGAGTTGAGCTTTTTGCCCCGGAGCTAAAAATAAACACCGTATGATAAAAATGTGTTGGTGGTGGAGTTTTGTGTGGTGCGTTAAGTTGTGCTGCTGTTGAGGCTTTGCTTTACAGGTCTGGCTCTGGTGTTCCATGTGGATGAGATGCTGAGGTGGGTTTTGAGGATATGGTGCTCGGCTTTTTCTTTCCTTGGTCAATGCTTCGCTTTGATTTCGGTGAAATAAGACAGGATTTCAAAGGAAAAGGAACTAAAATAAAATAAAATAAAATAAAAAAGTGGGTGAAATCGAGGAAGGGAAAGGAAGGGAAGGCCATTGAGGCTTGTTGGGTGGGAGTGTGATATGTGTTGAGAGAGGGTTGTTATGATAATCTCTTGGGATGTGTCCAGTTAAGTCTTGTCTTCCTCAAGGTTAAAATTTTTCCATGAAGTTAAGTGTGTATGTAACCCAGGTTTTCCTCTTCAAGTGAAATATGTCTACGTGAGAGATTTTATAAATAAACAATGTCCAATATTTCTTGAATTTAAAATTTATCAATGAAGATTGTCAAATTTATCTACAGATTTAATTTGTCAAATTCATGTAGATTTATGTTCTAAACATGTTATAAAGTGTAAAAATGGGAAATAATCGTTGAAACAATTTTTTAGAGGTCGAAGTTTGAATTTGTGCAGGGTTGGGAACTTGTATTGAGAAGTATTTGAGTGCAATATGTCATATATAAAATTGTCAATTTATATATTGTTATTTGTCAAAAGGTAAATGGTATAAAAGTATTTTTTAAAATTTACTATTTATTAATATTATTAATATTAACCAAATATAAATTATTTTATATTTATCATCTTAGTTATTTTAATACAAGGAGTGTAAATGTTATCTAAAACATGAATTGCAACATAGATTTTTGCCATAGACTTTCATTTGGTGTATATAAATTATTTTAAATAAAAGAAAGTAGGATTGATAAATTGGTGCAATCTACAATATAAAAACTTTAGAAAATATATATTTAAATGTAATTGACTTTAAGAAGTTTACTACTATGTAAAGATTCATAGTGTTTAATTCATTAATCATTTTTTTAAAAAGGCATACAAGTATAGATAATGAGAACTAATAATTATTAATTTGAATAAATTAAGAGATCAAATACACTAATAAAAAGACAAAATTCAAGTATAAGGTGTCAAATTTAGAAAAAATTTAAAAAATAAATATTTTTGAAACTTAAACATTCTTTAGAAAAACATATTGTGATAAAGAATTTCTTTGCATTTACTATCCTTTGGCAAAATAGAGTAAAAACATATAAATTTGATATTAGTATTAAAAAAATAGGAACAATAGGTATATATGTATAGTGTTATTTATACATTCAACAATGATTTTTAAGCAAAGAAAAAGTTGTCAATAAAATACATGAATGCAATTATTATCTTCAAGTAGCTTACTATAAACAAAGACTAAATTTTCTTAGAGTAGTAATAGAAAAATTCTCATAATGCATATAAAAATATTAAATTAAATTACATGTACCACAATGTTAAATTTTATTATAATAAATATTATCCAAAAAGAGTAGTGATTGTTTACATGTTATTGAAAAGTACAAATAAAAATAAATTTAAAAATAAATTAAATAAATTAATAAGTATGATTAGGGGTTTGCAACAAAAAATATTTGATAGAAATAAGATAAAAATACATTTACATAAGAAAAATGAAGCACCCAAAGTGATTGAATTAGAGAAACCTTTAAATTCTCTAAATATTATAAAGACAAGATAATTGAAGACAAAGACAACAACCATACAAAAAACATACATATCTATTACTGTTTTTTAAAAAATAAATGATTGATACCTCTTGTTTAATGAACCTCAAAAGTATCTCAAAAGTATATCAATGAAACAAAATTTCACATATATGCCTTTATATTGATAATTATAATTTTTATATTTTAAATTGATAGAAAGAATACGTTTTGTTAAATTTGATATTATTTTCTACATAATTTATTATTGTTAATTAGAAAGAAGTATTTTATATCAAGAAAAATGCATTAGATTAATTTATAACACTCAAGGCAATATTAAAATATAATAACATATCTATAAAAGTAACATGTGAAAACTTTAGTATATTCTTAATGTAAAAAAATTTAAAAACTCCTAACAAACATGGATAATAAAGATTCAAAGATGCATTGAATAAATATCACTCTCACAATTCTTAAGATTTATTGAACAAAATTGTTCAATATGATTTTTTAAACAAAACTAATAATCTCTTACATCCAAATGAAACAAGTTTTTAAGTAATCATTTTAAAAACTAAAATATGAATCTCTTCTATACAAACTAAATAAATTTTGAGTGATATTAAAAAAATAACTCAAAACATGATCTTATTGCATTGACCCATTTTTTTTATGACGTAAGTTTCAAAATATATAATGCAAATAAAAAAATTTATATCATACAAATATATATATATATATATATATATACACACACAGATAGATAGATATAGTTCCTTACAAAGATGATTGAACTATCCTTCCTACATAATGAAAAAATAAAATAAAATAAAACTTAGTTGACATTCATAAAAAAATTCAAATAAGGATTAACAAAAGAGAAATAGTATTCATTTTACAAGTTGAAAATATAGCGAATTTTACTAATTATACTGTTATTACATACCAGTGCAGATGCAAGAAGGAAATGTGGTGGTTCAATACAAAGAAGCACACATCTGTCAAAACCAAATGCGATTGATGAAAAAATTGAATATTTAAATATGATAAAGATCTACAAAAAGAATTGAATTATTGAATGCAATTTTTGAATAAAAAGAATACAGTTGTATTGTTGATGTGTATACAAAAGTAGCTCATGTGTCCAAACGGTATTCACTCTTTGTTAGAATAAAGTCATTTTAGATGGCAAGATCCTATTGCATGTTCTCCAACAGGATCTCAAAAATTTGTCATCAAACCATTATTCCATGGCAGAAATTCGTTTCACATTGCACACACTTGGCTTTTATAAGAAGAAACATGTATAATTCAGCAAACATGTGCAAGTGTTGCATTTGTATGACGCACGTTCAAAATGAGTACATTAACTCGTTTCATTAAGAAAGAAAGGTCCATATTCTTGCTAGAGAGGTCCTTGACTTTGTTAGTGGATGTTGTCAAGAAAAACGAAAATAGAACAGAAATGAGTTTATTTATGACTCAAACATAATTGAGTAGTATCTCTAAATTAAATAAGATGATCGGAAAAAACAATGTCCTTTATGGTGGTAACCAAGTGCAAAAAACATCAACCTTATTCATTGTCACAGGCTGTACAGAAACCATGATGCAAATGTAGAAAGAAATGATTAAGAAGGAAGATTGTATCGCAAAAAATAGTAGTTTAACGTGTTCACCTTCTATATTTGAATCAGGTGGGTAAAATACACAACACTACATTCAGCACATTGAATACAGACACTAAAGAAAATATATCCCGTTCTGATTTCTTGCTCTGGTATAGTAAATATGCATCCACAACCACAAGACAATTTCTTATCCAATCACTGAAAAGAAAGCTTTTCCAAGTGACACTCGGGACCCAACGTCGATATCTCGGCCTAAATAGCCCAATGATCCTTAGCATCCATCAATGCAGTCGGGCAGCAGGGCCACGCCGGTTAATTAGTTAGTAAAATTTGTTCAAGCATATTGTATCTTTGATTTACAGCAATTATTGACAGTGTTTAAACTGTTCGCGAATTAGAAAGAAGTGTACCCTAACAGTTCCCACATTTTATAACAATCAACGAAAGCAACTTGAGCATAGAGAGTCCCTTCGTAGAGCCGAAACTTATGACAAGTGACATAATATATCGAAATCACGGATCTTTGCATACAGTTTCACATATACCCTAACTATAAATCAAAGTTTTCAGTTCCCTCATCCGGCATGCCTCTGAATAGGCATTAAAAATTCGTACATGAAATTGTGACAAGTGCCAAGCGAGTTATTGCACGCAAAAATCCAGGGCACATGGGAAGATACACATTCGTTGTTACGTCGAACAATCTAAGTCTCAACAATTGCAAAATCCTGTTCAGTAGACTGAATTTTCTCTACATTGTAATACTACCGGAAAAATAGATCGTAGAATTACGATGCGAAAGAGTAGGTCAGACGATTCATTGGAGAACTAGTAGTAAAAAAAGTAGGCAAACTGATAAACAAAGAAAAGAACACCAAAACAAAAAATAAAAACAGTCACATACACGGAGTAAAAATCATCATAAAGAGACGGAAACGACAAATCCCCGTGCATAAAACCATAAATTAATGGGGAACCGTTCAGCCAGGACACAAGCATATCCTGCAGCCAACCTCATCAAGCATTACCGAACATAGTTGTTTGGAAGGCATCCTTCATTTTAATATTGCATCTTGGCATTTGGCATCCTAGCGAAAAACACTATGGACAGCTCGTCTCTACGCAGAACAAAGCAGGCAAGACACGTCATAAACAATTGCTGGCACGCAACTGCACATCTTCTTGCCCCGGCCCACCACCAATTGAGTGAAGTGATTTGCAAATTCGTCTCCACATAAAAGACCTAATCGTCATCACTGCATCCAAATAATACCAGCATAGCATCACTACCAACAGTCCTAATAGATTCGCATTGTAGAAAGGGAGAGGGGAATGAAACAAGAACTTGTGTGCTCCACGTCGATATTAACCTAACTTTCAGGAACATAATCCACCAATACAATCTGACATTTCATACCTCAGCCTCCTCGGGCCTCATATCATCTCCCTTTCCCTGGTCGTCACCTCCCTCGTCCTGAAGGTCAGATGTCCACAGGGTCAGATTATCTCTAAGTAGCTGCATGATCAATGTGCTGTCCTTGTACGACTCCTCACTTAACGTATCCAACTCAGCAATCGCCTCGTCAAATGCTTGTTTCGCCAAATGGCATGCCCTGCCACAGTCAATGGCATTCAGTCACAAGCTCCAATATATTCAATCCCTGAAAAAAAAAACACGCCGTAAAACCAACCAACAGCTAAGTCTCTACTGACCAAAATTCATACCTCTCAGGAGAGTTCAAAATTTCATAATAAAAGACCGAGAAGTTCAAAGCTAATCCCAGTCGGATAGGATGCGTCGGTGCCAGGTCCGTCACTGCAGTGCTGGATGCAGCCTGCACACGTGCACATACGACTTTCTGTATGTCATTACCAGGCCAAGACAACCACTCAAGACGAATGACCCACTGGGCCGTAGTAAACACGATTGTCACTGTCAGTTACTCTATGAAAATTATCACAGCATTTCCAGAAATGACCACTGAAGGTTGTATTATCAGCGCAATCTGAGACTCATCTTTGAACATACCTGGTATGCCTTCAAAGATTGGTCAGCGGCCTCTTTCCTCTCATTCCCGGTCTTGAACTCCGCCAGGTACCGATAGTAATCTCCCTTCCTATCACCCCACCCATCACGCATATATCAAAACAGATTTCAGGTCACGTCTCAAAAAGTCAGAGCTAACTGCGGATGCGATCCGCAGATTATCCTTCTCGCGCTCCAGAAAACTTTGGTCAAGCCCCGGGTACCAAATCCATAGGCGTTCATATTCGAATCAGTCATACAGCAAACAACCTAACCAATCCGAACATATACTTGTCTTTCAGCAAGATCAGAGAGCGGTGCAGCCACCCACGCAACTTAGATCCTCGTCATATTCATGAGTACCCAGGAGAAGCCATACATTTTATAGTAGAACACAGTGGACTCTCCCGTGCTGGACGACGGAATCAGGTGTCCGTCGATGATAGACAGGATATCATTGCAGATCTTCGACAGCTCCTCCTCCACCTTGTGTCTGTAGTCCTTGATGCGTTTAACATTCTGTTCGTTACCTTTGCTCTCCTCCTTCTGTTCGATGGATGACATGATCCGCCATGACGCCCTCCGGGCTCCGATGACATTCTTATAACCCACGGACAAGAGATTTCGCTCCTCTACTGTCAGCTCCACATCAAGCTTGGCAACCTTCTTCATCGATTCCACCATCTCTGCAGTTCAAATTACGAATCACAAAACAAACAAGCCAAATGCAGATATACTGACTTAAATACCCTACGACATGACCCTGAATGTTTCCTATGATTGGTTTTAATGATGAAGTGGAACGAAGAATCTCTAAGATCTGAACCAGATCGCCAGACAGACATCGTGAAACTAAGTTGGACTTAATCCGACAGAAGTACATGCGTTCACGGAACTAATAAACATATCTTAAGATTTCGCCGAAACAAAACCAAACTTTAAATTCCTGCGAGATACGAAACGTTCAGCACCCCAAATCAGATCTCACAGAACGGCCTGCAAGACTAAGACGCATGGTATGTAACATCGCTGAATCATTAAGAATGAATAGAAGGAAATCCACCTTCGCACGAAGCATCCTTTCCACTTCAGAAAGGACAATGCGCACATAAAACAAAACTTCCAAATCCAAACACTCAAGCATTCACCTTCCTTCGTGACTCCAACCAACACATAAATGATCGTTTCAGAAAAACCCTCGCGAAGAAGGAAACAACTCACCACACCAACACAATCGCCTCGATGAATAAACCAGATACATCCCAAAAACACAACGTAACTCTTCCCAACCACAACGACAGCGCTCCAAACATCCATTCAAACCAAGACTCCCATTCACATTCCCACAGACCACATCTACGCATCTAAAAAACGACAGTGCTCCCGACATCCATGATCCGCCTCCCGCCACCACTCGAATCCAAAATCGAAACATCACAGATCTCAAAAGTAATAATACTAATAATAATAAATAAACAAATAACTCCCGAAAAACTCCACAAAAACCAAGCTAATGGAAAGAAGAAAAACATGTTAACATATCGAGCACACACACACACCATCGTAACGCTCCGCCTGCTCGGCGAGCTTGGCCATGTACACATAGCTCTCGCGCTCCTTCTCCGTACTCATCTTGGCCTAGCACACTCGTCCACGACAGTCCGAAATAGCAGTATCGCGCACCGTCCCCCGAGCACAAACCAAGCGCAGAACGGCAACACACTATGCAATGTAAAGGAAACGCAGACACAAGAGGAGACGGAAAAAACAATAGAGGCAGGAAGAGAGTGGGAGAGAAGAGACGGGGGAGCGGGGCGATGGAGGAGGAGGGTGAGCTTTCACGCTTCACAGGGGGCAGGCACGGGCCGGGCCTCTAATACTAACTGGGCAATCTCGGCCCCCCCCCCATTTTTGGCGTGTAGCTCAGTGGCACATGTTGGGCAGGCATGGATTCCGACGGCAGCACCCGGCCAGCGCAGCACCCGCCCGGGCAGCTAATCGGGGCCCCCCCCCCCGGGTTTCTCTGCCCGTACAAGGAAATATTCAATCCGGGCTACTACAAAGCATGCTTATGGGGTCTAATTAATTGATTGATTAATTAATTAACCCTTGCTTTGCTTTGCTTCACCGAGAATTGTAACGTTTTTCTTTCCTCCTTTGGCCTATTTCTTCCTGTTTCACATTCGGGGGGAGTTATGGACGCTGGAACGTGGTTACGTGATACTACGAAGAAGGTTCTCGCTGAGTGGCATTTCACAGTGGGGGAGCCGCAACAGCTGTGAGATTTTCTAAGAATAAACAAGTTAGATTCAAGCTTGTGTGTTGTATGTGTGTGTGTGTAGAAAAGGCCTGGAGCCGTTGCTATTCACTTGGAAAATCCACTCGATGCTCTCGATGCACATTTTAGTCCTGTTGCGTCTTACGCTTGTGTGTGTGTATATTCCAATTGAGCTTTGCGAGGCTCTTCTTATTCTGCTTGGTCTTCTTCTTCGTATGGGGTTGGCAATTGGAGTGCACTGACACCCCCCCCCCCCTGTGAACCAGGATCTGGTCTTCGTGTTGAGAGATCAGCTTGAACTTGTGCGAGGACACCTCACCGTTGACAGTTTCCAAAAGAGTATAAGTTATAGCTCGAAAGTGGCGAAGTCATTTTTCATTGAACAGGTCTCTCCAGGACACTTGGAACAACTCCATTGGAACACAGTCAAATCAGACCCCATCCTACTCCCCCCCTCCCTCCCTCTCCTGGGGCAAAAGAATGGTCAGTCAGTACCTGTGCCTGCCTGACGAGGAATGCTTAACGGCGAGGAGGCATTCTCTGCTTGACACGACGGACCAACTACGGCAGACATATAAGTTATATACCCAAAAGGAAATAAAGGCACATCGGGTCCTTATTAGGGTTTCGGTCCCAGAGCCAGTGGGTGTGTGTGTATGAGTTGGGGTGTTTCAGGAATGAATGAGAAGTAGAAGGAGGGGAGTGTGTATTGTATAGTGTTGCATGTCTGTGTGTGTGCAAGTAAGTAGACACTCACTCACTGTCTACTTGGGGTGAGATCCCAAAGGGAGGATACTTACTTACTACTCTATAAATAAGATCCCCTCCCTCCCTCCAAGGTGGGTGAGTAGATGGGTGGGTGGATGGGTAGGTGGGTGAGTGGTTATAGGGTCCATACCATTCATTGCACTATTGCAGTAAACAGTAGTAGTAGCACAGTTTCCTTGTCTGTCTTATAGAAGCAGAATCCCCCCCCCCCTTTCTAGCATAACTTGCTTGACCCCCAATACTTTCAAAAAAATGAAATAAAAAATGAAATAATAATAACATTAATAAAAGTTTCTTTTTTTACATAAATGTTATAACATTAGTATCAGGATTATTTATTTATTTATTTATTTATGTAGATTTTAAAATTTAGACACTGATCCCTTTGTGTTTAGATATGGATTTTTTTTTCTGTTGCAGTATGAAAATCAATAAAGAATCAAATGAAAAAAAAAAAAAAAAAAAAAAAAAAAAAAATCTATGTAGCTTCTGAATTCATCTGTTGTTAATTTAGCTCTTTTGAAAGATGAATTGCAAATACAATGAGTCGATTTTATTAATTATTTGATTATCTGTGTATTATGTATCTTTCAAATTCAAAATACACAAGATCAAATGCTTGTAACAATATGTAGATTTTGTTAAAAAATTCTAATGAGGATGAAATCATAGTTTTTGTTTGTTTGTTTGTTTGTTTGTTTGTTTTTGTTTTTGTTTTTTTTTTTTTTTTGTATTTTGTATTTTGTATTTTTATTTATCCTTTTAAGACAACAACTATGACATCAATAATGTCATTTATTTAGTAAGTTAGGAATCCATTTTAACACATTCAGGATTTGTTTTTAGGTAGATTTGAACAGGAATCAGGCTTTATATCTACAATTTTTTTTCTTTTTTCTTTTTTCTTTTTTCAAACAGCAATGATAGTTATAGATAGTAAAAATTGATACTGTATTAAGACAAGATTCATAAACTTTTTCTAAAATCACAATATATTACTAAGACAAAAAATTTAGTTTTATTAGCAATTAGATATTTGCTGTTGTTGATTACAATAAAAATTTAAAATTTTTATTATAATTTTAAGTGTATTATTCTTAAATTTTTATTATTCTTCCATAACTTTATTCTTTTGTTACCAATTTGCTTGTGCAACTTGGCCAAATATTCTTATCTACTATGAATTGGTAACAAAGTACTAACATCTATTATGATTAGTTTTTGCAGAGATCTTATATTTAGCCCTTTACTATCTATTAATTCGTTTATATTGTATTTTAAATGCATATTTTATTCGTCATATAAAATTTTAAAGATAAGATAACTTAAAGTCTACTCCCGATTTGAAATAAAACCTAAATAAAGGTCTATATATATATTTTTAAAGTATGAATTCATTGTATATAGAACTGATTTTTTAATTCATTGGATTTTATACAACTTGGTTTTTATAATTGTAATTTAGGTTTTTTACTATTGCTATATCTATGGCATTACTGGATTGTGATTTAATTAAAAAAATTTAAATTATGATTGCTAAATTTATTTAATCCAATTAAATAATTCATTAAAAATAAATAAATAAAAATTTATTTTACTTTTATAAATATGAATTTTTAATTTTTTTTAATTTTGTATTATTATTTCTATTTCAATTGATATTTCAATTTTAAAAAAATATTTTTAAACACAACTTTTTTCCTTTCTATTCTTTCTATATATATATATATATATATATATATATATATATTAAAAAATATTATCCTATAAATTATTTATTTTTGTCATTATGTATTAATTTGATTATGAACAATAAAATTATAAATCAAATTCGCTTTTAATAGTAAATATATTCATTGATATTATATAAAATCAACAATTTGATTTTTTTTGTATTTTTTCAAATTTATATCTAGTAGTTGTTATTAAAATAATATACAAAACATCTATTTCTAAAGCATTTTTTTTAGATTCTTATGCTATGTACATTTTTAACTTTATAACAAAGATGATTTAAAACCTATCTTTAATATATTTACGACAGTTATGTACAATCTACTTTTAATTTTATAATAATATTACAATCAAGGAAGATCTTATAATGCTCTTTGAACTTATGACTTATAACTTTATTTGTTCCAAAATCAAAGATAGATCATCATTATATTGAAAACTTTTAAAAAATATGAGTATATTTTTTTGAAGTATTATATGTCTATCTATAGTATTAGCTTTTGAACTGAAAATTCTACCATGGTATATTACTCTATCTTTCTTTAGATTTTTCTCTTTAAAACTCCAAAATATATCAAATCATAAATTTAAGAATTGTATATTAGACTAACAAAAATTTATTTGATTTTTTTTGTCTTTAATTTATCTATTTCTCTTGAATAATGGGTTCTAAATTTTCATGACATGCAGTTGTTACTCTTTGTGTATAATATTGATATTTTATGTTTTGAGAAAATATATATAAAATAAGTTTAATTCTACAAGATCAAGTGTCTTAATCTTTACAAGTATTATAATTTGGAAACGATATAATCTAATAGTTAAAACAGGTAAATTACATTGTCAAGGTTCTCCATTACAGTGACAAGTTTTGTGACAATTTCCAATTTAATGCAAATTCATTGGAGTAGAATTTCACATGGATAAGAATGAATTCAAAATTGGAACCCACATAAAACCAACAACATTGATGATTGCAAGCAAACCCATACCTGAATTATTGCATATTCAAGATTTTAAGAAAGCAAAAAGGCTCAAAAATGAATTGAAACACAAAATAGTGCTTAGCTTAGAACACAACATGAAAATTAACAACTTTCTGTTACTAGTAATCACAACTTGTAGTTCTTCTCTTATTAAAAATCAGTCTGAGTTGGGTACACACACTGTTAAAAAAAACGCGAAATGTCTTACTAATTCGAATCAAATTCAAACCTTGAATACCAGTTCAGTTTTTTGGGAACTGTCATCCTCTGGTGCATTTGTTCTTCGATGTAAGATTTCATGTACGATTTGCAGTATGAGTTGCTGCACCATCAATTGCTTTGTTGAGAATGGCAGCTAAATGAAGATAGTTCATTTTCCAGTGCAAAGCTGGAAAACCTTGAAGTATGTCTCTGGGTCCGAGGATTCCACTCGCATTGTGAATCTATTGTTGCACTCACGCTCGGTAGAAACTATCAATTCGGAGATCAAAACGTCGTTGATTTGTATCCTCTAACTATGCTTTTTTATTTTTTATTTTTATTTTTTTTATTGTTGTCTATTGCTGCAGATGGACATAGATTCTCGCCCTCGCAGAGCTCTACAAAGAATGTGCAATGGGTCGATGTGAGTGAATATACTCTGAATTGGTTCCAATAAGAATAAGCAACTCACTGTGATGCAGGTGCTGGCTTAGCCGAGATGCGCTTTATTTTCAGGTGAAAGTTGGCCTACTCAGCACGAGGGTGCACATCGAACTCTCAAGCCAACTCAGAGTGTTTCAAAATCACATTCTGCAATAAAAATACAGGTCAGAAATACAACAGATTCCATAAATGTTCTCGCGATCAGAGTCTTCGAGAGTATACTTAAGACAGATCTGAAACATTGAAACAGCTTTGAAACATTGGCCGATGATGTCACGATTCTGCTTTCTGAACTGCGGGAGGATTGTCATCGTTCTGGACTAACGATCTTCTCCGGAAATTCTTGGTTAGAAGCTGAGCGATCTTAGATTGCCGGCTGGAGGGTTGCTTAGACAGAGCGAGCGCTTTGCGTCTCTCAATTATCCTTGTGTACTCCGTGAAGGAACGCATCCTAACCCGCACGTTATCCTTTGTACATTGGACATGGCGACTGTTCCTGGACTATGTTAAAGTCGTCGAATCCCTTGAGGCAAAGTACTGGATCTCAGCCACACGAAATACACTGCTTGTTGGCGAGCTCGCCTACGAGGTTCAACCTGTGGACCACCATATTCCAGACGGGAACTCTATGGTCCAAAGCAGCAACCTCAAGGAATTTCGATTCTGCAGGTCAGGGATTTAATACGGTGGAGGGGCACGAGCATCACCGCCGCGAAACTGCGTTAAGAGCTGCACAGTAATGCCACGTTCCACGCCGAAGTTATGAAGTGTTTTTCGTGGTCCGCGCCCCTTCATTGACATGCTTGCCGTTGTAGAAACCCCTGGTATTCTGTCGAAATTTTACACACAACCGCCACCTCCTTCTAGAGATCCCTCACAGTGCTACTGTTGGCCCTGGTCCAGGTTTAGGGTTTTAGTGCAACCTAAACCATCAACGAGCTTCCGGTTAAAGATCTCACAGAGGAAGACATTCTCCCCTTACGTCGTGAGCACAGAGAATTTCGGACTCGCACCACTTCCTTTGATTTTCTTGATCAGCAATGAAAGCTACTCGTCTTTCTCAAAGCGCATGCAACGCAACTCTTACTTTAGTTAGGGCCGCCACTTTTCTCTCAAAATCTGCCACATTCGAACTCGCTTTGATGAGGGGCATGAAGAACTCCTTCTGGTGAGCATTGATCTGCATCAAAAGTAAAGCTGGACCCACCTCTCCTTCAAGAACTCTGCATTTCATACTTCATTGATAAATACCAATCAACTCCCTGTCACAACTAACTCTCAAACTCCACGCATATATATATCAGCAGTGACGTGATCAACCATACAGCTTATTGTAGCCGCACGACATCCAAAATTCACAAACAATTCGCATCGATTGATCCCCAGCTTATGTCCTCACAACAAACCTCGAAACAATCTCTAGTTGTTAAAAACTGTGCTTGAAATCCGTTGTGTATATGTGATAACTCTTCCAGCACATACCAGTTTTCGGTGGAATAATCGGCAATTATAGTTGCCAAGTGCGATATAAGTTAGGGAGGAGTATGAAACTGATCTCATGATATTATTTCTACCGTCATTCACTATACAAAAGCAGCTTGATGCGTATGAAGGCGGCTTAATATACATTGTTGGGGGAGAAGACCCGGGAAAATCACTCCGACATTGAGAGTTATTTGAAAAAGATAGGTGATATATTTTCTGAGTCTTGTGACCATCTCGAATCCTGTTTGTTTGCGCTTAGGAACTTATGAATAGAAATTTTAATAAAATGGTTTCTGTACTTCTTTCTCAGTCATTGGTGGAAAAACTGAAGGGCCAACCTGGTTCTTTTCTTCTGAGAATAGTGAATTTTGCACTTAACATGCATCAGTGTGGAATTGAACTCGTAGATCTCTATCCCTCGCACCAAAATGCTCCGTACAAGTAACCTAATTTGCTGGCTCAGGTTTCTATGCGAACTTCATCGCATAATATGTTCACCACCCAACAGATCGATAGACAAAATACGGATTGCAACACTTGCATTAGCGCCCAACAAGCGAGGAATCGAGCTTCCATAATACAGATGACAAATTAGCGGATAAAATTCAATCTCTGAACATCAGTTTCAACATGCATTCGAGGTGCAGAATCGAACCGCCTTGCGAAGCTGCACAAGTCGGAGATAGCTCGGAGGCGGCGTGAGTCCATGAGCATTGCAAATGGCGTTGAAGCAGGGCACCATACTCACATCAGAATCCATGGGCTCGTGCACACTGTGATGCTATGCGAGCCAGAATTCGCGACATCCAGCACATCCAGCACATGCAGGAATCGCCACCACTGGAATTTGACCACCGAAGAATTAGGGTTTGAGAGATCGAGGTTGTCTTTCAACACTCATGAACAAAGAAACTATCCGTTATACATATTAATTTAAGAGATTGTTAAATAGACCCAGTCTTTTGCAAAATTTATCCACCCATCATGAATAAAATGAAAAAAAAAAAAAAAAAAAAAAACTATAGATTCATTTCTCTACTAATGAAACCAATGAAAATTAACCACATTCATCATGACCACCATATTCTTATTCTTCATCAAAGGTAAGTTGATTTAGTAAAAACTTAGGTCTATTTAACATTCTCCTTTATTTATTTAGTTGTTGTTGAACAAAACATCTTGTCGTGTAAACAAAGATCATTACACACAACACATCAAGTACGACAAACTAATCACAAAGTATGTAATCTAAACCAAATATAAATACATACTTAACACACTTTCAAGTACCACCCTTAGTTAATTAGGAGCCCCTCCAATCAACTAGGACTACAAAACACACATTGTTGAAAATAAATGCCACAATGATGTTGTTGCCAAACTGTACTCCTCCAAATTAGTATTGTAGCAACTAGACCATCAAAGTGTATGACAAACACAATAGAAGAAATCTTCAATCCTTATCAATAGATGGGGAATGGCTAGAAGACTTCTTATAATGAGGACAAATCTAATTTTCTAAAGGGAGAGTCAAAAGAGGTGGTGTCAAATAAGCCATGTGCTATCCACATAGACATTGATCACAAAAAAAACATGGTAGCAACTCCTTTCTTCTCACTACATACAAAATAAAAAAGATGAATTGGCACAACTGCCAATTTAGGATGTATAGGGTCATTAATGGAAAGATGACAAGGAGCACAATTCATTAAATGCTCCTGACACTCTTGTCCATCCTTGTCTTCTAATAACAAAATACTACTAGGCAATATATCTTTTATATGTAAAATTGTGCATCCTACCTTAATATCAAGTGTTATAGGCATTTCATGTTGCAAATATATATTATCTTGTTTGAAAAATCTTTGCAATTGAGGTCGATAAGCTCTACTACAAATGCAAGCATATTATAAAGTGTTGCAATGTTGAGCAATAAATAAGTTCTTTATAGCCATAAGTATGACTTGTTTAAATGTAGCTAAGTAGAATTGATTCTTGTCCATACAATAATTAGTAGGGACTATAAGATGCAAAAGATGCTTATCTATTGAAGTAATAATCTATTGCAATCCACCACAATATCATGTTTCAATCACAATGGTTGCCATGAAGTAATCTATACTTCCATAAACCACATTTGATAGTCTGAATAATCCATTCAACTAAGCCATTTTTCTTAGGATGTTTTCTAGATGTGGTATAATAATTTATCAAAGCTTTAGTATATAAAACTTCAAACATTCTAAGAAATTATCTTTCTTGATGTGATAAGATTTTAGCAAGTGCTCCAAAATATACAAGTACTGGATCAAAAAAAACCATAGTTACCAATTTTGAAGAGTTTTGTGATAAAGCCATAAGTTCAATCCACTTGTTGAAACACTCTACCATCATTAGCACATATTTAGCTCTATGTGAGGTCAATAAGTGGTCAAGCAAAGTCCAAAGATCAATGATAATACAAACCTATGATATGTAATGGCTTTAACTTAGGTGATAAAGTGTTAAAGCTTGAACTAACTTGATCACATACTTCACACCAAGAAATATATAACTACTTATTGATACATATTATTCCACCAATATTGATTGCACAACATAGAATGTATTATACATAGTCTAAAATATCCAAGTTCTTCATGTACTTCTTGTATTAAGAAGGATCTTTAATTTGGCCTTGGAACTATGTGCCTAGCTCTATCAAGCCTCATGAAATAACAAATTATTCTTCTAATAAAATCTTGTTATTTAGTGATTAATCTTATCTCTTTTCATATTAGAGATAGCTGAAGGAAATGTTCCTTATTGAAGCTTGTATAAGACCAGAAGAACTTCTCACACATCGCTAATGACTTGATTCTTGTCCAATTCCTTATTTGAATTTTGGTCAAAAACTATTATTATAGAACCTAATATTAAAGTCAAGTATGTGGCTACATGCCATCCAGAGATTGCTACTTGATTACAATCTCCATGCTATTGAGCTTTGGTTAATCCTTCTTTTGCAAGACATGGATTATAAGAAAATCCATCAGCTTTTAAATTAATAATGCTTATCCAATGCACAACTTCAAAGTCATATGCTTGAAGCAACAAAGTCCATCTAGCAAACTTGCTAATAAGATTGTCTGATTCCATAAGCTATTTCAAAGGTTCATAGTCAATTACTAAAATAAAGTATTGACTATGCAAATAAGATCAAAAGTGAATAATGGCCCAAACTATTGCCAAAGCTTTTAATAAACTTTCAATATTAATTTGTCAATCCTAAAAAAGTCCAAAGTTGTGAAACATCACTTTGTATCATGATTTTTTACAAGGCATCTATCTTTACTTTTTATATGCTAATATTTCCTAAGATAATCATATGACTTAGGTAAGATAACCGTTTATGGAAGAATTTATACTTTCTATGATGCAAATAGTATTTTAATTACTATAACTGTTCAAATACTACTTGTAAATGCTTCACATGATCTTCTTGGGTGCTACTAAAAATGATAACATCATCAATGTAATATCTAGCAAATGACAAGCTAGATAAAACTTGATCCATCACCTAGTAAAACTCAGCTAATATATTTTTAAGATCAAATGAAAAGAACTTTAATGATAGATTTGATCTTTGCCATCTTAATTAACTTTTCAAAATATTATCTTCACCTAATTATCAATAAATAATGATAATTGGTAATAATTAAATCTTAAATCCAAAGTATTGAATACTCGAGAAAATTCTACTACATCAAATAATTATTTTGGTATTGGCATAGTATATTTATCAAATTTAGTCTTAAAATAAACTAAATACTACTCTCTATACATTTGTCTCTTTGTTCTATTACCAAAAAAATCTTTTTTCAAAGGCATGATTGTGATACACGCATACTTATCATTTGAAAGCTCAATTAAGCCTACAACCAATAATTCTTAGTAACGAGCTTAGACACCAACTTTCTTTGAGGTACTAAGTTTGTAAGATTGTCAAAAGATTAGATGATCATCTTTTAATTAGATGTGAATGGATTTGTTTTTATAACCTTCAAGTTCTTTAAAGCTAAATGCAAAATAATTATGATATCAACAAATAAAAATTTGTATTCTTTGTGCTTTGGCATCAGTAAGATGTGGCTCTAATTCCAATAGCCAATCATCAAACTCTATAGTCTCTTTCTTCACTAAAAGAACACCAAGGCATGCCAACACAATATTTATTTTTTAATCTATTAAAGAAACAACTCCTATGCTCAAAGATCCTCACTTCTAGCCAAATAAGGGGCTTCATCACCATAATATTTGTGTGAATTAGAAATTTTGGTAGAACATAAAGTGACTTCCAGAAAAAAATTCTATGAAAAAATCTCTTAAGTATTTATTTTTTCTAAGTCTTTGGCTAAAACCACAAAGACATATTGAGCTTGTAGCTCATCAATTGAATGCTTCTTTAAGAAAAAAAATGACTTAGATTCTTCAACCTTAATAAGTTTAAGATCCACTATGCCTTGACCATTGTTCTCTGATCTTAGAATACTAACATGGTCATGAAAATACTTTTGAATAATAAAGCATATGCCAAAAATCCATATTAAAGTGTTGAGGTCCATAGCTTGGCTTAAGAAAAAATAACATTGTCATTCAATGAGATCATAAGCAATTGTGGTGCCAATCAAAAAGTTCATGGCATGCTCCTTTTCATTGGCATTAAGTTCTTCATAGGTTTATGAATTGACATTCCAAACTATGCAAGGTCCACATGTTCAAAATACAAATGATGTTAAAAATATTATAAATATAATAAGTATGTAATGAAATGCTTCTATCTTATTAATTAAGATAAAATGATGTTTATCAATTTTAGTCACAACTAATTTTTTTTGATTATTATCCAAGATATTACAAATATGGTGTCCAAAAGGTTAATTAAATCAAAAAGTACTTTTGTAGGCACGTGAGACAATACGAGGTTTGTCCAAATAAAACAAGGTTGATAGACATAAGAGCCTAAAGCTGCAACATCTACTAATATTGGAAGACTAAAAAATTGATTAATATATTGACAAGACTCTAATATTTATATTTGAATGTCATCCAATCCAGGTGCATGTTTAAAAATATACATAGATAATATGATTTGATGCATAAATTACTATTGTATAAGTAGGATAAAATCTATGAATAAATTGGATTGAGGATCATCTAACCCTAAATGTACTCTAGTACATGAATGACCTTGATAAAACCATCTAGTAATCAACAAGTCAATGTTGAATAATCTCCTCAAATCTTCATCACTAATGAGGATGATATCATAAAGAAGTTGACTAAAACAACCAAGAATGGTAGTAGATTGTAATTAATTAAAATACATAAGCAACAATCTTTAGAATTGATATTGGACTGCTTGATTATATATAATTTTAGTATCTATATGAATATAATATCTAATAATAAGTCTAACCTTCAATATCATTGCCAAATCTATATTAATACTTAGAAAGAGCTTTGTAAGGATAATATCTTTATTTAAAGGATTTCAATGAATAAGTTGAGTATATACATATAAAAAAGAAGAGTTTGGTATCTTTACTATATTTAATAGAGATACAATCTCCTTACATTGGTAAAAAAGTTTTGTACTTATTTTCTATCGAAGAGATAGATCTTTGTAGTGTCTTATATAAACTTTCAAAGATGGTGAATTATTTGATTCTAGAAAATAGAACATGAATGTTAATGTCTCTTTTAATAGAACTACTCTATAAGACAAGTTAGATGCCAATGCACTACAACTAAATAAGATTTTTGCTAACATAATCATAGAAATTATTGCAAATGTGATTGGAATGAATTCTTTCTTTTGATTACCAATTGATCAT